GTTTCTATTGGATACAGGATACACACAACAGCCCCCACAGGGGTTTTCTGTACCGTAATGGGGAAAAGAAAAAAAAAAACCAGGGAGGGGGAGTTGGTGAATTCCTAAGGGGTTTTCCTTTTACTGAAGGAGCAGGAAGAGAAGCCCAGATCCCGATCCTGGCAGCAGCCCCTCCTCAGCCTGGCTGCTGGGAACAGGGTGGTCCCACCAGGCCAGACCTACATTCACTTGCTTGGGGGCTCCTGCCAGACCCTTCCAGAGGCAAATGCTGGAAGGCAAAGCCATGCTCAGCTCCAGGGAATGTGTCCCAGTGGATGCTCAACCGCAGCTCTGTGCAGACTTGTTGGAGCCCATCCCTGTTGCAGGCAGACCCTTCCCTGGACCTGGGCTCGTTGGGGTCCCTGCAGAGGAAAGGGGGACAAGGAGGCAGGTCCTTCGTAGAGAGAAGATGCGAGAGCAGCTGCGTTGCCAGAAGAGAATCCAAAGCTGTTCCACTGAACACATCCACGGTGGGAAATGTCTCCAGCCAGCTGGCTCCAGCTTCCAGCAGAAGGAAGGCAATGCTGGGAATAAAGTCTGTCACAGAGAAGCTGCAGCAGAGGGTTGAAGCACGTCCAGTCTTCCAAAAGAACACTGGAAAGAGAAAGTCTTGAGAAACTTAAGGAGAAATCCCAAATCCCAGTGCCAGCAGGTCCCACGTCTGTCCCTGAACACCCTCCCAGCACAGCCGGGTCCTTGAGGCGAGTGGGGTGAGGCAGCACTGGGGAGATGCTCTTCCAAGAAGGCAGAGAGGGAAGGGAAAAGGGGGGTCTGGGATAGCACAGGTACCCCCAGGCTGGAGGGCCCACAGTCCTGGAGCTGGTCCCGGCGATCCTGGAGCAGACACAGGGTTTATCCTCCTGGAGCCCCAGCTCCGTGGGTGCCCCCAGGGATGGGGCAGAGGAGCTTGGGGGGGCCCCGTCCCCCTGCACAACGATGACACACTTGTGCAAAACACTTGGGAATTAGACCTTTGGATTAACTGTTTAATACACTTGTGCACATGTGCGTTCAGCAAAGAGGCAACTGTGAATCGTAAGGCGATTGAGACACTGGCAGGTCCTGGGAAGAGCAAAAATCCCGCTGGACAGGACCAGGAATGCCCTTCCTGCTTCTCCTTGTGCCCGTTCCACACACAGAACAGAGCAGGGGAACGGCCTCTTGCACCCCCAGCTCACACAGGAGCAAGTCCAGGAGCTCCCTCCTGCCTGGAGGAGAGGGAAGCGGGAGAATCCGGCGCTGTGGTTCCCCCAGCTCTGTTCCTTGGCTTTCACTCGGTGCCAGAGTCGCTGGGACAGCAGAGGCGGTGCCGGCGCATTCCATGGGACACAGATCCAGGGACCTGCCCTCCTGAGCTGCGCCAGATTTTGGGGATCGCAGCCCCTGCCAATGACAAGGTCCTTTAGTGAGAGGGACGATCAGTTGAGGCTCCATATATTAGTTATTGACACACGCAGGGAAGGCGGGTCAGTCTGGTTTTCCATGGGTATCCATATATAAAGTGTACGTTGCCCTGCACATTTTTTATATATC